TGTAAACATTTTTCTAAAGTGATAATGTATTTCCAATAATACTTACCTTCATGATTAATCATCACTATAGGCCAGCCCCAACCAGATAGCCGAGGTTCCACTACTCAGGGCTGAAATTAAGGGGGTCTTGGTCCCTATATCCTATGTTGGTGGTTAGGGCAATTGGACCATAGTGTTATATATAGATCTACCTTTGATTGGATCCCAACCTGTAGGCATATAGTGATGCATTCCAAACCACCAGTATCACAACAAGAAAGTAAGCAACATCTAAGTGGAAAAACCTTCTCCTCCTCCTGGAGAAGCCTGAAAGGTAACACCATAGGCTCAGAATGACAGGATCGTGTATGCCTTACTCAACCAAAGGAACCAAACTCATCCTCAGTCCCAGAGTGGGCAAGGAGCTTTCCACTTGCCTCTAGAATTGTGGGTAGGACTTGAAACAACTGTGTTCAACTAAGGACCCAGGATGGGACCACTCCGTGTTAGGAATTACAAGGAGATAGTGGACCTCCTTCTATGAAAAATATACTGAACCAATATTGATCAAAAAGCAGGGCCATGCACATCCAAGCATCAAATCTGAACTGGTATTACGAGTAGGCTGGTGCTGCTCCTACTGATAGCTGGGAAAAACATTCAGGTAGAAGGACCCCCAAATTTGCCCTCTTCTACAAAAGTGGAGGAATTCACTCAAACAATCTGGAGGAAAAGCCTCTGTTCACCACCCCAGTGACTGGAAACCAGGTGTGGTAAGGACTCCTTAGCTTCACTAGTAAATCCGTGGAGTAATGCACATTGGGGAGTCCTGAAGAACAATGCTCTAAAAACAATGCAATAGGTGAGCCAAGTTCCCTAAATTTTAAAAGCAAACCAACCCCAATTTGTTCAATACAATGATTGGCAGGGATGGGCAGTCTCAGGAAGAAAGGATATATCAGAGTATAGCAGGACAAAAGTGGAGTGATAGAGTCCTCTTCACATGTAGTGCAAACAATTCCGACCTACAACGTCCACATGCCAGCATCAACAAAAAATACACTTTAAGGGAAAGGTGATACATGGTACATGAGGCTAAAGGCTCAAATTGATGTCGAGGCAAAGCATGTAATAACACCCTAATATCCCAGTTAGGCAACTGAAAAGGCCTTTTGGGATGAAGGACTTGAAACAATTTGAGAAGGCTGGATAGCACTGGGGACTCAAATACTTTCCAATATTTAGAATACTGAAAAGCAGTCGATAAAGCTGTCTTATATAAAGTGAAAGTAGACAAAGCTAGACCTTTGTCAAAATGCCAGGTCAAAAACAAGATATAGTGGGCACATTTGGGTGAAGTGGGTTCAATTTCCTCATGAGACACCATTGGCAATAAGGGTGCCACTTCCATTGATAAATGACCATTGTAGGCAGCTTTAGAAATTAAACCCTAATGCTGTGCGAAGGACCACATCCCTTCCATACATAAAATTTGAGCTTGGGTATGTCTGGGTGTAGAATGTTGGATAGAAGTTGCCTCAACAGAGATGGCCAAAGAAAAAGTGGCAGAGGTGGACACTCTTGAAGATACTGTAGAAGAGGAAACCATGGTTGGGACAGCCAATCTGGGGCTACCAACAGCACTCCACAAGGAGTGGATCAAACCATAGTCAGAACTTTGAGCAACAGACGAAATGGAGGGAAGGAATATGGATACAATCCCATCCAATCTCGATTGAATGCATCTATCACCAAAGGACAAGGATGAGGTACCGGAGACTTAAACGGCTGTAGTTGAGAGTTTCAATGCATGGCGAATGCATCAATCATTGGAGTCCCGAACTGAGAGCAAATCCACCGGAAAACCTTGGTTGGGCCAAGACAGGCGATATGCTATTAAATTCATCACCCCTGGAACATGGCAAGCCAGGGGGTTGATATGATGGGAGTGAGATCGGTAGAGAATATTCAAAGTTCGAAAACAAAGGTCTTGAGAATGAATGTCCCCTTGTTGGGAAATGTAAGATACCACTGTGGTATTGTTGGAATGAATCATGACGATTTTCCCATTCAATAGAGCTAAAGCTTGAATCATTGCCTGTTGGATGGCAAGAAGTTCTAAGATATTGATGTTGAAGGAAAATTCGTCATCTATTCATAGACTCTGTAATTCCAGACCATCTATATACACACCCCATTCCTTAAGTGAGGCATCTGTGAACAGATGAATCTTGTGATGAGGGGGCAGTATAGGAAACAGATGGTAGTATTGGTCTGATCCAACCACCACTCGAGATCTTAGATGATGCTCCTGAGTAAGGAGACTGGATGACCCAGTGGATTGCAGTTCATGATCCATTGGTTGTGCAGCGACCATTGAAGGGACTGCATGTATGATTGAGAACTATTGGCACAATAGAAGAAATGTAAGAGCCTGACTGCCTGTTCCATAGCCTGGAGCCGTATGGGAATTGGCTGAGCCCAGCTTAAAAATTTGTTGAAAAAGACACCCAGATGGACAAGTATTGAGTTGGCAAGAGAAAAGAGTATCTGGGTGTGTTATTCAGTTAACTGAAAATATGGTGCCTGAAGTAATCAGTTGTTCATATAATGGTGAGTGGACTCATACTACTCTGTGGAAGATATATGGTGCAGATGCTAGGCTAAAGAGCAGAGCCCTGAACTGCAAAACCTGACCCGTGTCCACAAAACGTAGAGAGCAGTGGGATGACTTTGCCATAGGGATGTGGAGATATGCATCAGCAACATCAAACTTGGTCATACACACCCCGGTGAAAAATGCCAACATAGGTTGAGAATGGACTCCACTGTGAACCTGGAAGAATCTAGGAATTGGTTAAGACAAGAAAAATCAAAGATCAGATGCCAATCTTCTGTCTTCTTGGGCACAACAAATGAATGGGAATAAAAGCCTTGAAGAACAGAATCAACTCTCTCTACTGCCCCCTTGACCAACAACACTCTGATAGGCTTGGAACAAAGATCCACACTCTGCAGATCTGTTGGGGGTGGAAATACCACAGGTTGGGAGGATAATGGAGTGGAGAAGTGAACTGAATGATCAACTCCAATGCCAGGACCGGAAGTACCTAATGATCTTTGATTAAGGAATTCCAGATGTCCAGAAAATGTTGTAACCTCACTCCCACAGATACCATCGGCATAGGCCAATCACTGATGCTGTCAGTGATGGTCTGCCCGAGCAGAGGAGCTGAAGCCGGGGGTCAGGATACAAGATGAGCAGTCATGCAGTGGCATCGAGCAGGAGCCAAAGAAAGCCTAGAGTCCAACAGTGACAAGGAAGAATGCAAATGGGCAACATCAATCCATGATTCCAACACCTCTGGAATGCCCATAAAAATCATGGGATGAAGAAAAGGAGCCTCACATAACTCATGGAGGGTGGCAGCAGGTAGATTAACTTCCTCCAATAAGGCATCTCTCTCTACCCAATAAGTCCCAACAACATGCAGGCCAGGAAACCAAAGAAAGAGCAGAAGCTGACAATCTTCCTAAAGTAGAAGTCAGTAAAAGTGATGTGGGGAATGCTGAGAGGCTTCCAACAAAATATGGAGGGAAGGTTAATCTTTCATAACAGTAGCAAGGGTCAGATGAATTTGAGAAAATTGTGATCTGTTCAAAGTGATCACAGTGTCCAAAAGAGGATCAAATCTTTGGGAATCTAAATATACATCCCCCTGGTGGTGGTAAGCCAAAGAATGCTGATCCAACAAATGTGGGAGACAAATCATAGCTATCCCATCACATAATTGAGCAGTAAATCTCCCAGCATGAACAGCAATATCAGGTGAAGGAGGAAAAAAACTAAGTACCCTCAGACCTTTCAGCCATCAAAGAAGGAGTAGATTTAAAGGCAACCAGGGAAAGCCCCCAAAACATATAAACCTGACTGATTAACTGAAGAAATGGAACAGGAGGTGGCTGATCAAAATTGACCTTGTGAGAAGCCGAGATACTAAACGAAGGCACCGGAAAAAGAGTGTCCAACTTCTCTCCAGAATGCCCTGGATCATCAACAAAAGCAACCTCAGCCCCCCCCCCCCCCACCACACACACCCAGACTGAATATATGTCTCCATCTCAATGAATCAGATCACAAATAGCCTCAACTAAGAGCCAGTGTTAAAGACTGGTATAGTATCAGTCTCAAAAAAGTGATAAAATTATCTGAATGAGGTGCTTATATTCAGTACAAGGATAGAGGGTGCACTGACATGAGCAGAGAGTATCACGAGATAAGTATTGGCATGGGCAATTGAATGGGGTATAAAAGACTGGAGCAAGCAAGGAGAAATCAGATCAATGCTTAGATGGGCAAAGATGAAACCCTGGCAGCAGAGGTAAGTATGTTTTGGAATGTTGCATTTTATGAAGTAATTACTTACTATATAATTACTTACTATAATTGTCTTCTTGATTCTAAAAGCTCTCAGGCTTTTAACTATTGAGATATAGAACTTTGTATAAAATTCAATTTGGTATTGTAAATGTTCAGAGTTTTTGCTTTTGTGAAAAATAATGTATTCTTATTAATTTATTAAAGTAGCTTTTAGTTAATGTACAGCTTGAATTATTTCTTAAATAAACTAAAATAAAAGCAACTGTTCATGTAACTGTTATAAAAACTTTGTTGGTAATCCACTTTCTTTGAATAAATACACAATGCTATGGTAAATTATCCCTAGATAATAAATAAAGAAATAAAGATGATCATTGTTACATAAATAACATACACTCACTTATTCTCTTATTGCACCATGTCAAATGATCTCACTCAATGTCAAAATCATTTTAATAATTTTTATTCATTTGTGTATTGAGAATGATCAGAAAAAAACTGTTTTATTCTGTAATTGTTGTAAAGTAGGATACTAATGGTTCTGTGTAACAAACTGTTAATTCGTATACTAAATTTTGATTACTTGTACTAAGTGGCTGAGTATTTCCATAATTAGAAATGTTTTAAATACAATACTTACCTTCCACAGCTCTTTCTATATCCCACCGAATGTCGTACACCTCTGGTTGAGAAGATAACAATGTGAAGATAACATCAAGACCAGTATAAGCACTTGTACTTCTCATAGTATCCTTATCAGGCTATCAAACCAAAAACAAATCACACATTTGTTCATTTATTCTACTAACATGAGGTATCTATTATATATTGGTTATATTATGATTCATACTCAATTACCAACATTAGAACTGTACATGAACTGCTAACTTGGGAAGATCAACAGTTAATATAGTACTGTTGTATAAAACTATACAATTGGATTTTTTAGGAATTTTGTTAAACCTTTTACCATGAGTATTGTAAATTAGGACGGTTACCTATGCTATTCTAAAAACCAATTTCATACTAAGCAGTATGGTGATTATAAATACAAAACTTATTTGTTAATGGCAAGGACATATTACTTCCTTTTCAAAATATATGGAAAAGAAAAAATCATATCAAGTGCCAAGAAAATGCTCAATACTAAAACTGCAAACTTAATGTTTGTTTTCATGGAAATTCAGCTAGCATAACCTATTACATGTATAAAATCAGGTTGGTTTGGGTTAATAATTCTGCAAAGTGTAATCAGATTTTTATCAAATTTCATGGGTACATTAAGGTTGAAATTCCTCATCACACTGCAAAAACTGATCCAGATTATTGATCATTTTGGTTCTGAGAAGGATTTTCTGAGTTTTTGCAATCTCCAAAAGGAGTGGAGGGCCATGGATATGCATTATCTCTAATTGCTCGTTAGACACTAATTAGCCATTAGTTTACATCCTATGTTATTAATATCTTGTTGTTTTCAAAGAAGTTCTGAGAAGGTCTGTAATGGTGGAAGGAGTTGAGATTCAACCATGGGTCTTCTTGTTGGAAATGGAAGTGTGATATCAACCTGTCTGGGTTCTCACCCCCACTGGGACTGGGATTAACCATTTTGATATTTTTCAAAAAGATATAAAAGTTTTGCTGACTTATAAATTATGTTAACTAAATGTATTATCATGAGGTTAAATTTTTTTTTCTCATGGATGACTCATATTTCATTGGTTTAGTGTTATTCCAATTTATCATATGGGATATTGCAGATAGATCAGTGTTACACAGCACAGTAGGCTTACAAATAATTTAACATGAACCACAAACAAGAAGAAAAAAATATAAAAACGTCTTCTACATTAAACTGACTAATAACACAATCAGCCAACCTAGCACAGAAGCCAGCCAAACTTGCATAACCCTCTTGAAAACCTCCAATTAGGTAGTTCAAGTATTAATGGGATGAAAGCCTGAACAAGTAGATGATAAACTTGTCTTTCTAATAGGAAGCTATAGGAGTGTTCCTAAAATTCAAATATCCTCTAAATATTTTTATTATAAACAAACATAACTGTTATACATCATTATCTTGCAACACAAACTTGGCTTTTCTATACACCATGTTAATGCTATACATACAGCACAAAGTGTTAAAATGAACACGTGAATGATATTTAAATTGCAAGTCAATCATTTCAGAAACAATTTAAAATAAAAAATATATTCACAGAAAAATTACTTTACAGAATTGCATAAAATCTTAACATATATTCAAATAGATTTTGTCATAATTATAAAATGTATAGTTTAGTAGAGAAAAACCTCTATTAATTAGTAGAACTTTTGCTATTTTGTTCAGTTAATTAAAAACACTACTTAAAACACTCAATATAGCATAAAGACCTCCTCCTGGCTATTTTTCTGTTAATTTTTCTCAAAAAGTCTATATGTGTGTATCCATATATATGATTAAAGAATGCTATTCCTCTGCTTAACACATACAACAATCCTCTGTATGGAAATTTGACTACTTCAGTCAAAATGTTTTTTATAATTTAGGCAAATTTCTCTTTACTTACTTTCTATAAAAAATATTATTATTTTCCCTATAAATAAGAATGACATTTGAGGCTATAGTTCTAGAAACTTAATATTCATGTCTTTTGTTCTTGGCTTGGTATTAAAAATGAAATAGCTAATAATAAACATATTTCTTACCAGAGTTTTTGTTATAACTAGTAAAAAATACATAAAGGTAAATACTAACAAAGAATTTTGGAAATAAATAGAGCTGGGTAATTTAATCTATTATCTAGGACAGCAATGACATCACTTACTGTCTCATAATCTAATAAATTAATCAAAATTATGATTAACAAATAATGCTGTGAAAATAATCAACAAATTGAAATTACTGTTTTTGATTATTCCAGTAATCACTTAATTGAATTATGATTAAATTGACTATCACAGAAATAATCCAGTAATCAAAATTAGTTGTTCCAGTTATTACTGTTTTCAATTACTCCAAGAACTGATTAATCAAAATTATGATTAAATCATTTATAAAAAGAGCTGGGTGATTTAATCAATTATCTATGAGCAGTGTTTACATCATTAGTGTCTTGTAAACTAATCAATTAATTAAAAGTATGATTAACTGAAAAATGTCATGTAAATAATCAACTAATTGAAATTAGTGTTTCTGATTATTACTGTTTTCAAGTATTCCAACAACTGATTAAATGAAAGTACAATTAAATCAACTGTAAAAAAATGAATTAACTAACTGAAACATTACCATTATGTTTGTTTGTTATTAAGTATAAAGCAACATGATGGTGGTAGGATGGCAGAGAGGATTTACTCATGATTTGAGGGTCTCAGGTTTGATTCCAATTGCTACTAAACTTGATCACCATGCCTTTGTTATTGTAAAGCTATTAAGGCAAATGAGTGGCAGCACCACTCTGGTTACTGAAGAGTTCAATAAAGTGTAAATTTCTGTTGTTGTTTTTTAACATTGTATTATATTTCTACCTTATAATTGTGTAACTGTATTCTTTAACATTGTGTATGCAGGCATGAATTTATGGGAGGGGTCAAGAGGGTTGAGACCCCACCAATAATAGTATTTTTTAATGTTGTATGAGCGGATGAAGCTCTAAAAAAAAGGGTCCAGGTGGTCAAAACCAAAACCTTTCTATCCATTTTTGTTTATAAATTAATAATTGTAATATCTAATGTTGTACATGTAGATGTAGGGCTAGGAGAGGGGTCTAAGAATACAGCTCACCCCCTCTATTTTGTTTTTAGGAATTAATAACTGTATACTTTAAATGTTGAATAAACAGGCATGGAGCTTGGGGAAGGATTTAGGGGGCTGAATGCTCTTACAATTTTTTTTTAGAACTAACTGTATCCAACTAACTGTATAGAACTAACCTAATACAACATTAAGAATGTAAATCAAACATTGCTATTGTACAATTTTTCCAGATACTTTAACAATGCATCTAGACTATAGAGACTTGTTCTCATCAAAGTTAGTATTATTTAGGGCACTTACATCTCTTATAACAAATACTTTTTACATAATCGACTTTTTCATTGTTTCAAAGTTAGAATTCTCTAGAGAAGAATGTTTTTCTTGTTCTTGATGTTTAAAATAAGTGAAAGTGCAAATAATATGATTATGTAAGTAATGAATTAAAAGAATTCAAAAACAGGTATACATTTACCAAAGCTACAAGTTCCTTTATACATATGATTATAAATAATTATAACTATTTAATTTTAATAAAAAAATTGAATTGTTTGTTGTGAACTGTTTTCTATTTTCATATCAAACACATTACTAGAAATAAACATACAAGTTTTGAAATAACTGGATTATAATATCATTAAACTAATCAGTTACATATATATTAACATTATTTTAAACGAGTTATTTAGGTCACTTTAGTACGTGTTTAGCATTGATTAATCCAAGCTACTACATTATTATAGTAGAAGTCTCTTCTTTTACGTGAAAAAATACTGCAAATTTGATTACATTGTCATATAGCCTAATTTTAAAAAGTTGACTGGTATAATACATCATTGTAACAGTTAACCGTTATAAAGTTACTGTGAAATTAAACACTGTTGTTGGTTGTAAACATAACAATAATACTATATTACATGAATAGACTTTCTAGTTTTGTTCTTATTCATTTTTTAAAGGTTTTGAAATTCAAACTTTGTAATATAAAGTTATGAATATCAAAAGTTTTATTTTACAAAACAAATTGATAGTATTCTAAATTTTATGTTGTTTGGCTTAAAATTTAGGCTATGAAAAGAATATCTAAAAGTACTAGGTTTTACTTTTGTTAAGTACTCATTTGCCTGGTAAATAAAATGAGTTATGATTATCTGTTTCCCTTGATTGATTACAAAGCATTTGAGTAGTCGTAGTTATAGATGCATTTTTTTTTATGGCACCAACACCGTCATGAACTAGAGGTGATAGATTTCATTTAATGTATTAAACATGTCACCTTTTTTAATGTTTTAAAACATTTAAACATTTTTACATGTTAAAAAAAACATTAAGAAAGTTATCTTACTTTCTCATACAAATAGCTCTATATATGTAAATAAAAATAGTGAAGTAACAGAAAAATTGCAGCCGGGACACAATGACATGGACATTTTTCTTACCTGAAAATATATTTATAATAAATACTTGTCTGAACAAAGTAGCTATTCCTCTCTCATCTGCCTTTGAGATTTTGTGCATGCCACTAGCTTTGAGTCATCTCCCATCTAAAACGTGTTATGACATAAACCAAGAATAGTAAGGCAACACATCCTTTGTGTGCAGTAGATCGCCATAAGCACTTGCACACAAAATTAACTTCATTCTTACATGAGGCAAGAATAATGTGCACTGGTAGTGGGGAGAAAGGGTGGGAAGGTATATAGAGATATAAGTATCTATCAGAAATACATTTTCAGGTACAGAAAATGTTAACTTCTGAAATGATGGGCTTACTTCTCTGTCACACCATAACTAGAATCCCACGTTGATGCGCTGGAGGGGTCAGTGCAACTTAGATAAGCTTCCTTCAGAAAAGGTAACTCAAGAGGAAAGCCCATGGATTATGACACCCTATAGTGAGGGGTAATACTCATGGGAGACTAAATCCATCTCATGCAGGTTATACTCTTTGTCTTCATGAAAACAAGCCCAAGTATTACAGGCATGGGCAAAAACATACATGATCAA